GAGGAGGAGGAGGAGGAGGAGGAAAGTCTAGCTGACCCAGACTACATTCGACTAAATTCAATTGGCAGTATGAACTGGGTATAAGTAAACTTTTTACAGTATGCACTTGGCGTAAGAAGCAATAATTCTTCTTAGTACTTCTTCATTGTTTACGTTCTATGCCTAGGTCATTCCTGGAGTTCTGCTATAACGTTTCATTTTCAAAGCTGTAATCCTTTTTAAAAACTGTGTTCATTGATAGTCCTTGGTGGCCTAGGCAGTCCGCTCCCCTGATATCACAGTACCTAGTTTAGAAAAATGTAAAGTTACAAAATTTGAGTTTCACAATATTATGTCAAGTTTTAAAAAATGTAATTGTTTGAATATTTCGATAACGTCTCCGAATAATCTTATGATTTTGATTCAGCAGATTGAATAATATATAGATCTGTACATTACAATATTTGGAATATGACCTCATGGTCTTAGTAACTCAAAACGGCCAAAAATATGTCAGATAGAACGTTATAGTTCTAAGGCAGCGAGTAGAAACCGACAAATGACGTCACCAACCTCTGCTGTGTGGCCTAGGGAGTGGCCGGCGACCCCGAAATTCGCTCTCCTTCTCCGCCCACTTCCGGTTCTCAGCCTCTCTCTTCCGGGCCAACAACATGAGCAGCCGGATAAAGGTGACCATGACCGGGTGCGACTGGGAACATTCCACCTGCATGAAGCCCACGTAGGCGTTGTAGCCTGTGGGGAGAGCCGGGAAAGACATGAACAAAGTCAAAATGTTACCACCTACTAATAGATAATAGATATAATTTGTATAACGTAAATCCCCGCTCAACAGCAAGCTCTATACGCTTCATATTCTATACTACTGACCCAGCAGACCTGAGAGCATTCTGAAACAATCTCAACTTCCTGGGAAGCATACAGTGCAAGAAGCCATTTATAGGCGCTAAAACACTAACATACTGACAAGATCTTTCGCTGTCTATGGCCGGGTACCCATTCCCAAGTGGGTGAAGACAACTCTATCTGGTAATTTCGGCCATTTTGAATCACTTAGACCATGAGATCAAAAACCAAATATTCTATCTGCTCTTTCAATATTGTTAGATTATTTGGAGACCTTATCTAGATATCCAAAGAATTCCTTTGTGAAAAAGCTCGACATGTGAAATTCAAAAATTTACACGTCCAATTTCTCAAAACTAGGTATTGAGCAGATACAACTTTGTAATTCTTGGGTAGTGATTTGCATAGCACAAATTTTTTCTGAGCAGCAAACTCTATGTGGGAGCTCTCGTGGCTTAGAGGTTAAAGTGTTCGCCTCTCATTCAATAG